GCGCTTGCTATTGTGCCCGGTCAGCTTGCCCCGCGCGCGCTAGTGCAGCATCCGCGCATCAAGACGCAACGGCGCGCTCGATGGCTGAGTGTCTGATTGCAGCGACAAGCGCTGGTTTTTGTGTTGACGTCTCGGGGCATCGTGGCGCGTGCGCGGTTCAAAGCCGCCCATGTGTGGCGGCGCCTGTCCCAATCGATAAAGAGTTGCATGTCCTCGCTATCCTGGCAACCAATGCGTCTGGGCCTGCACTGGGGAACGATGTTGCAATGTCGCGCCCCAAGGGGGCCGCAGCGGCCACGTCGGGGACGGCTCTGGAGGGCATGATATGTGTTCGAGAGCGTTTTGGGCCTGCCGCCACCTCGGCTAGGTACGGGGACCTGCCTGAAACCACCGAAACATACCCGGACCTAGCTGGGGTGAGCTGCGGCACCCCGGCTAGGTACGGGTATGTTTTTTGGGTTTTCATGGGGCAACCGTACCTAGCTGGGGTGATCCGCAGACGGCCGTCCAAGGGGGGCGGCTTCTGGCGACCTCGCCCAGGGCACAGATTCGTGATGTCTCTGCATCGAGCAATTCGCGATAGGGCGGTTGTCGCGCAATGACGTTCGCGCCAGAGTTGTTCGCATGCGCCCCCGAGTGCGCGTTGACTCCTCAACGCCCGGATGTGTGTCTGGGGGCGCGCCTCCGCAGTAGTTGGTCTACATCGACAACAACCAACGCAGGCTCGGGCACTCCGCCGATTCGAACGCACGTGCGATCGGTGCTAACGTGCGCCCCGAGAAGACAGCGGTGTGTAATGCTCGATCGGTTGTCGTTTCTACACTCGTGCAGCCGCCGTCAGCTGCGACGAACCGCCCCCCCGGCCCGTTGCCACCCTGCCTAGGTAAGGGTACGGGTATCTTTCGCGCTCGAGAATTCGTACTTGGTCCACTTCCAGCGAGCGGGCCCCGAGCGCCCGATGTAGAGCTGGGCGTCCTCGTCGATCTTGTCGTGACGGTTGCAAAGCTCCAGCTCGATGCCGAACAAAACGTTGTCCCAGGCACCTGCCAGCTGCTCGGCTGAGCTCGCCTCGGCAGTGGCTGTCATAGAACCTTCCCACGAGAAGGGGAAGCGGGAAACGAGCGCATCCTGGCTTGGGGATCCTAGGCAGCTGCTTCGGCTCCCAAGGGGATCGGCACCAAAGCGCACGGTCCTCGCCAAGCATCTGAACGTCGACCAGCCTGTGCGGGAAGGTGTCCGCCGCCTCGTCCATGGTCGGGAGCTCGAACCTAGACATGAGGGAGGCCTCGACGCCGAAGTCGTACGTGGTCCCGGGCAGCGTCTGGCGGCAAATGGTTTCCACCGGAACCAATAGGACCGTTCCGACCGAATTGAACCAGCTCTCCAGCTCCTCTGGCCCCATGTTGAAACCGCCTCCAATCAGCCAGGGCACCCCGCGCAGGGAGAGCTCCAGAGACGGAGTGGGCAACGCGCCTGAGGATAGCAAGGCTGCTTGCCGCCATGCCGATGCAGTCGACCAGGTAGACGGAGACACACACGATGCCGCCCGACGCCCCCCAGTGCACGTGCCCTGCCACTGCCCGCCCAGGGACCAGAAAGTGCGACGGCAGGCCAGGTCGGGGGCAACGATAGGGGGGGATAGGCATAGGGGGGAATGCAACGACCCCCGATCGCCCATTGGTCGCCGATAGGGGCCCCATAGCCCCAACCCGCCCAGGAAGGTGCGGATTCACTATCGGGGGCCTATCGCCGATCTGTCGGCGATGTATCGCCGATTCCAGGTCGATGCATCCCCCCTACCTATGCCCATCCCCCCCTATCGTTGCCCCTCACCAGGAGGCTCCGTAACCTGGATGCCCTTCCTGGCCAACGCGGCAAGCCCTCCGTGCGTGCCGCCGCCATCCCAGGGGGTAGCCTCGCCTCGCACGCCGTGGAAACCCAGGCCGTCCACGCGCTGCTGGAGGCGGGCGCTCTTGTTGCAGTCGGCATGCGTCTGCGGTACCAGCACCGCTCTGCTGGAGAAGTGCGCGCTCGCCAGCAGCGAGCCTCGAGCTTGCCGTGCGAGGACACGTTCTTGGTCGTGACGACCCCCTCGGCGCGAGCAGGAGGCGGACCCGTTCCGCCCTCGGCTGAAGGGAGGCGGCTGCGACTCTCGGGAGCCAGGCTCGCGCCGAGAAGTCGCGAGCCCTCGGGTGGGCCAGCACAGGCTGCCGCCTCCAGGCCCAGGGACGGCCCAGATGCTTCCAAGGCAGAGGGAGAGGTGCCCTCCTGCAGCACGCGCTGCATGCTGCAGCTAATTGCGGCCGTGCACCTGTCCGAGGGGAGGGAGAGCTGGCCAGACCCTCCTTTGCAACTTGAGGTAGAAAATTCGCTCGTCATGGGAGCGAATATCAACAACAAACTAATGGCTAACAGCCGGCGTCCCATCACACTTCCGCCGCTTGGCGAAGGACTGCATCCGCCGCTTGGCGGAGGAGGAGGAGGAGGAGGAGGAGGAGGAGGAGGAGGAGGAGGAGGAGGAGGAGGAGGAGGAGGAGGAGGAGGAGGAGGGGAGAAGGAGGAGTTGTGCATTCGTGAGGCCCCCAAATGGCCCTCCTAGAACTTTTTGTTGACCGTCCTGGAGCGATCTTGGGACCTCGTGGGCCGTCTGGGAGCGTCGGGGAGGCGGAGAGGCATGAACGCCAGAGTCCTTCAAAAAGGCTTCTGTGGAAAATCAGCAACTTGTGGCCTTTGTGGCCACTCTTGGGGCTGTGTGGGGTCATGTAGAGGATCTTGACGCCTCAAGGGGTTCTCTTCGGGACATCATGGGGCCTGCTTCCCATTCATCTCGACCGAAGTATTGTCTTGGAGCTTCGTTGGGTTCCCTCCTGTCGCTCCTAGAGGGCTCTTGGGGGTCCTGGAGACTGCCCTGGGGAGTTCCGGGCATCCTGGAGCCCACCTTGCTGGGAATTTGCTTCGACCGTGCCAAGACTTTGCAGGGGTCTTTTTCGTCCATGGACCCCCAGGGGCGGCCCCGCGCGCGAGAACATCGAAGTAGTTTAAACTTGTTACAGTCGGACCGAGGTATGAGATCGAGGTCGGTTCGGGGAGGGCCCCCTAGCTCTCTTCGTGTTCGTTGGATGTTCTTGTGCATCCTGGGGAGGGCACCCTCGGATGCTCTGTGTGCTTTGGCCAGCGGAGGGTCTCATGTTCTTGAAGGGTGTTCTTCTGGCCTGGGCCCGACTGTTACCAGATAGATCTTAGCCCGCCTCTGGCCCGTGGGGACGGCGAATGCGTCTCAGGAAGGGGAAAGACACAGACACAAATAATCGTCGACTCCTTGGGAAATTTTGGAAAATATGGCACGTGGGGGGGGAAACGAACATCCAGAAAATGTAAGAACATATTCTGAATGTTGGGATTTGTGTATATTCATTTGTATGTCACTGGGCCCCTTCAATCTAGGCCTCCTGGAGGGGGTCGGAGTAGATGGGGTCGGGGGATCGCGCCGCGTCGCCGATGCATCGCCGACGCGGCTCGATGTGGATCCCGATTTGCTTCGCGTCGGCGTCGCCGATGCATCGCCGACGTCGACGATGTTTCGCTGGTGCATCGCCGGTACGTCGGCGATGCATCACCAATGCATCGGCGAAGCGCTGCGATCCTCCGACCCCATCTATTCCGACCCCATCTTGGTGGCTTCTGAGAAGGGGATCCGGCAAGGTGGGTTTTGAAAGTTCGAGGGTCTCAAAGTAGGAAAAGGTACCGATACCGCCACCCTTCCTCCGTTTTTCCCTTGTGTTGGGCCTCCTGGGAGGCCCTCGTCGCCACCGCCGGATTCGCGCCGAGACTCTGGTCAGAACGCTCCCCTTGGAGAGGCCAGGGGAGTAGCGGCATCGGTGCCTTTGTGGCTTCCCCAGAAAGAAATCGCTGCTACCGTCGCACAATCTTTCCACATAATCACCGGCGTCGTTCATATCGTCGTCGTCGTCGCTATCATCAAAGCACGACCTCCTCCTCCTCCTCTTCCTCGATCCTCCTCCTCCTCCTCCTCCTTCACCAGGCTCGCAAAGTCGTAGATCCCCCGCGGCAGATCCAGGCCTGTTGCGAGCACTTGCTTTGCGAGTGGTGCAACGTTCTTGTCTAGAAGTTTCAGGCGGCAGCCCCATTTTGAAAAGGAGCCGCTATCCATCCGTGTGAGTATTGCGCATGTGACATTCGTGATTACCTTTTGTGAGGATGTCTCCGACGAGAGCCCAATATGGAACTCGTACTCGATCCCATCTTTGTAAATGCGGGGAGATTCTCAGTCGAGTGTGTGCGGTGCTCAGGCGCTAGCTTGATTTCGAAAATGAGCCGTCAACCGTGTGACCGTTGGGAATGTTTACGTTTCTGGGGTAGTAGAGGGTCCAGAAGTATCGAACGACACGCCTGGCCTGCCATCGCATTGCGACAAGGACAAGTTGTCGATACGGAAGAGAAGTGGAACGAGGAGTGAGCGGAGGAATGTGTGGCATCTTGAGGCATCTCCCTTTACTCAGCCCAGTTCGTCGTTAACCTCAGCGGCCACCGCACTGGACGATGGTGTGGCCTATGCTTCTCGCCTCGCTTCGGGCGGAGCTGGCCAGGAGAAGCGAGCTGGAGTGAATGGTTGACACGGGTCTTTACAATCGTCTGGGCCTGTCACTGTGTGGCTCGGGGCGTCCAGCATAACTCTTTCTCTTGTCACGTCGCAGCGCGGCCGAGGCGATCCGCACGCGCGCTGGGGCGAGACGGGGGCACGGCAGCGATCCTTCGCCCGCACGCAGGAGGAAGGGACGAGGAGGGAGAGCGGCCGCAGAGGAGGGCGCAAGGCGCGGGGGGCACACCCACGCGGCGGGGCTGCGGCGGGTGCGAGGGCGCGGCCCTCGTCCAGCATGACAGGGAAGGGAGGAGCACGGAGGGGGGAGGGGAGCGGAGGAGGGATCGGACACGGTGGTGCACGGCGGAGACTGCTGGGCCCGCCCCCCCTTTCTCCCAAGGCGAACCCGACGTCCGAGCTGACTGTCTGGGGCTGGTCGCGGCTCAAGTGGGCGGCCGCGGTGCCCTTCCTGGAGCCGGGCGCCCTTCTCCTCGTGCCCCCCACTCGACGTGGGCACGGAAAGACGAGGAAGCTGCTGCTTTACCCTCTGGGCCATAATGCGCGTTATGCCCCCTACCCTCCCCCCCCTGCGCTCCCCTCAGTGCGCCCCCCGGCACTGCCACAGTGCGTCTGGCACCACAGTCGGGGGGGGGGGGGAGCGCTACGTTAGGCCCCCTACCGTCCCTCCCCACTCCCCCCTCCCCCTCCCATGACGCCCGTTATGGCCGCGAATAAAGGATGCGTTCAAATGGGCACGGAAAGGACGTGGACGACAGTTGGCAGCAGCTCATGCCCGTTTTGAACAGGGCTTGCTGTCGGTGCCGCTACGTACCCTGTCCGTTCGAGGCCCCTGTCGGATTTAGAGACAGCGTTTGCTGTGAAGCATTTTGGGCCCTGTGCCCGTTTTTGCCCTGCCTACTGTCGAGCGCGCCAGCCCACCCCGTGTGCTGCCCGAGAGGGGCACCTCTGTGAGCCCCGCCTCCACGGCACAGAGGAGGGGGAGGGGCAACGGGAGAGGGGGATAGGCGATGGGAAGGAGGAGGAGGAGGAGGAGGAGGAGGAGGAGGAGGAGGAGGAGGAGGAGGCGGACGAGAAGGAGGAGGAGGAGGAGGAGGAGGAGGAGGAGGAGGAGGAGGAGGAGCCACAGCATGAGCAGGAGTCTGCGCAGCCAGGTCGGGCGACGCAGCGCGCCCCTCACCGCTCCCAGGAGATGTGGGCAGGCCGTGCGCCGAGAAGGATGGTCATCCTCCACAGCAGCGGCGACATGATATTCGGCGGCTGCAGCGAGAACCAGATCCTCTACAAGTACAACCAGATCGTGAACGCCAGCGGTCCCCCGCAGAGGGGAAGAGGGCGCGCACGCGCGCGGCCATGCGAGGGGAGTCTGCGCGCGAATGTCCACGCAGTCGGCCCCACATGTGTTTCTCGCGTCGCTCATATTGGATGCTGGTTTTCGCGGCTCCCTGCTCCGTGAGCGCCCAAGACGGGGCCAGAGAGGGGCTCGCATTGAAGAGGAACCCAGGTGGCCGCAGAGGTGGTGCTGTGAAGAAGCGGCTGGCCTCTGCTGCTGCCACGCCCCGATCCCCCGGGGCCCTTTGGGGACGGAGTCGGCCAGCCACGCGCCCGGCGCAAGAGCTGGGGCCGAGTGGCCCAGACGTGGTCCGCCCACGTGCGCTGTGCTCTTCGTCCCACCACGGTGGCGTCTCCGGCCCCAACCCCAGGAGAGCACGGTCGCCCGTGTCCTTCCAGATCCCCTCGCGCCCTGCAAAATTCTCGACGGCAGGTTGTCGGTCTCTGGGGGCCCTGGGGACCCTCGCCGGGCCCGGGACCGTCACGACCCAAAGCTGGCCCTGGGGGAGGGGTCCAGCTTCCCGGGGACCCCGCATTCAACAAAAATCAAGACCTCGGAATTCCGGATTCCGTCGTCCTCCCTGACCACCCCCTCCCGCCGAGACCTGGGGGCTGCGCAGGGAGCCGTGCGCAGTCCTTCTCCCGGCGCGCGGGCAGCCCGTGCCCCCTGCCAGGTGTGCCCGCCAAGATCGTCGTGGGGGGCGACCTGACCCCGCACCCCGAGGACCTCGGGTGGCACTTCGACAGGGCGGACTGGGCCGAGGCCCGGAGGCAGACGACGCTTGCAGGCCGCGGGCCGCGCCGAGGGGGACCACAGGTTTTTCTCCTGGGACCAACGATTTGTTTGGGGACCAAAGGGTTTCTTGTTGGACCAAATTTGCTGGTCCCGAATTCTTTGGTCCCAGCTTCTTTGGTCCCAAAACCAATTCTGGGGTCACCACCTCCGGGAAGCTGAGGGAACAGAGACGTGGCCTCAGGCGCCTGGAAAACCGACGGGTCCCGGTTCCACGCAGCATCGGCGCGCTCCGCCACCAGGCAGGTCGGCACGTGGCGCCGTTTCCGGGGGGCACCTCCCCCGATCCATGGACCTGGCACGTGCCCTTAATAATCCATGCTGGCGTGCGCCCGAGAAAACGGAGGGTCGAGGATGGGGGAGGATCGAGGTATCGAGGAGGGTCTCGACGTCTCTGCGTGTGCGGGGGTGTCCCGGGGGGCCCTGGGGGTGCCAGACCCAGGGATCCGATGTCTTGAGCTATGATGCTCCAGCCTACTTTAGCCTTGATCACCAGAAAGACTTTCGAGCACCAAAAAAGTACCGAGACTCGAGGGTTTTCACGTGTCGGGCCCTGGGAGACTCGTCCGACACTGTTTCGACACCCTTTCGACACTTTCCTGGGTGCTCGAAATGATTTCTGGGATGTGGCCCTTAGGTACGAGGGGAGCAACATACGTCTCGAGTTTTTCGGGGCGGGGTCTCTGGAAGTCCCGATCCTCCTCCGGGGCCCGGCTTTGTGTCCGGAGTGGCTCGTGTGACGTCCCTTGGGCACGGCGAGGGCCAGAGGCCCAACACGTCCAGCGAGAATCCGCCCTTTGTTTCTTTGCAGCACGCTGGAGGTTCGGGGCGGGGTCCGTTGGTTGGAGTAGTTGGCGACCCCCTCTGACGGGCCTGTTTTGCACCACCACCACCAGAAGTTGGATGGGGGGAAGGGGGAGGAGGAGGAGGAGGAGGGGGAGGAGGAGGAGCACGAAGAGGAGGAGGAGGAGGAGGAGGAGGAGGAGGAGGAGGAGGAGGAGGATCCCCTCCCCCTCCAACTCATGGTGCTGGTGGTGGAAACAGCACCCTCAGCGGCGACACCTGTTGGCACTGCCTGGAGGCCTCGGCGTACCTGCGGACTGGACCTCCAGCTACGCGGACTGCACCAACCGCACGCTCGGGCCCTGCTCCTCGGGCAAGGCATACCAGTTTCTGGACTCCGGCTTCATCATGGGCGAGGTGGAGGCGATTAAGGACATGGTAACCGAGTTGTCGAGTCCAGTGTACACTGGCTGCGCGAACCGGAAGATCAACGAGTATTTCCTCAAGAATCCAGGCACAGTGACCGTTGACTACGCCGGCCTCCTCTCGATGTCCTTGCACAATATGAGGCCAGGGAACCTCCCAGTCATAGTCGGCACGGATAGGGACAAGCCGTATCTGAGGAACCAGGTCAGCGACGCAGCTGTTTGCTTTGTACACGGAAGCGGAAACTCATTCGCGGCTCTCCAGGAGTCACCTACCTATGTTGTTTCTTCTCCTCATCATCTGTCTCCTCGTTCTCCTCCTCCCCCTTCTCCCCCCTTTCGCAGGCGCGCAAAAGGGGTAAGCGCAGTCAGCGGGTTGCGTTCTACGAAGGTTCCCCCCTTGCAGAAGTTGGTTGAGGGAGCCGAACCCTTCTGAGAAGCTCCCATGTCTTCTAGAAGGCGCCATTCTCACCCTGGCTCCGTTTGATCGCCGCCAATTTCCTCGCATGCATCTGACGTCACGTTTTTGCTCGCATCGTTGGTCCTCCGGAGTGATCGACCTCATCTCCAGGATCGTTTGCTCATCCTGGGTGCCTCTTGATGGTCCCGGGAGTCCTTGAGGGCCATGAAGCGGGCACATTGGGAGGCGGGAGACGTGGAACAATACGTTGCCACGATGTTTTGCGGACGGTGCGGACGTTGGAGATCCTCGGATGTAGTTTTAAGTCGGGCATGTCCCTCTACAGCAGGAATTCTCAAGAATAGTAAAATTTGCCTGGCGAAGGACCCAACCATATTCAGCTGTGGGCACCCTCGTTGTATGCACCGCATTCGGTGGAGCTCCATGTGGGGGTGTACCAGAATGGGTGCGGTGGCCGCATGCGAGCGCTGGCATTTAGGCCTTCGGTGGAGTTCTCCATGAGGCCACGAAACGTGTGAGGGGTGTGCTTGAATGGGTGCGGTGGCCGCCTGCGAGCGCAACCGCTGGGGCCCTCGGGCCACGCAAAGTGCGAGGTGTGTGTGTGTGTGTGTGTGTGCCGAAATGGGTGCGGTGACCGCATGCGTGTGCCACAATGGGCGCGGTGCCCGCATGCGAGCGCTGGCATCTGGGCCTTCGGTGGAGTTTCCATATGGGCTACGAAACGTTTGAATGGTTTGCCAGAATCAGCGCAGTGGCCGCATGCGAGCGCTGGCATTTGTGCCTTCGGTGGAGCTCCCTACGGAGCCACGAAGCGTGTGAGGGGTGTACCAGTGTGGGTGCGGTGGCCTCATGCGAGCGCTGGCATCTGGGCCTTCGGTGGCGCTCCCTATGGAGCCACGGAGCGTGTGAGGGGTGTGCCATAGTGGGTGCGGTGGCCGCATGCAAGCGCTGGCATCTGGGCCTTCGGTGGCGCTCCCTATGGGGCCACGGAGCGTGCGAGGGGTGTGCCATAATGGGTGCGGTGGCCGCCTGCGAGCGCTGGCATATGGGCCTGCGGAGCTCCCTATGGTGCCACGAAACGTATGAGGGGTGTGCGGAAGTAAGGGGGAACCGTGTGAGGGGTGTGCCGACATGGGTGCGGTGGGCGCATGCGAGCGCAACTATTGGGGCCCTAGGTGGCGATCCCTATGGGTGTGCCGACCTGGATGCGGTGGGCGCATGTGAGCGCAGCCAGTGACGCTTTCGGTGGAGCTCCTGTAAGGCCACGAAACGTGTGAGGAGTATGCCGGATGGGGTGCGGTTCCCGCATGCGAGCGCAGCTTTTGGGGACCTCGGCGGAGCTCCCTTTGGGACAACGGAACGTGTGAGGGGTGTGCCAAAATGGGTGCTGTGCCGAAACGGGTGGCGTGCCCGCATGCGCGCGCAACCGTTTGGGCCCTCGGTGAAGCCCCTTTTATGGGGCCACGAAACGTGTGAGGGGTGTTTGTGTGTGTGTGTGCCGAAATGGGTGCGGTGCCCTCATGCGAGCGCAGCCACTGGGACCCTCGGTGGCGGTCTGGTGCCTTTGAGGCCACGCAACGTGTGAGGGGTGTGCCCAAATGGGTGCGGTGCCCGCATGCGAGCGTAACCTCTGGGACCCTCGGTGGAGGTCCCTGTGGGGCCACACAACGAGTGAGGGGTGTGCCGAACTTGGTGCGGTGCCCGCATGCGAGCGCAGCCAATGGGGCCTTCGGTGGAGCTCCTATGGGGCCACGCAACGTGTGAGGGGTGTTCCGAAATGGGCGCGGTGCCCGCATGCGAGCGCAGACAGTGGGGCCTTCGGCGGAGCTCCCTTTGGGGCCACGAAACGTGTGAGGGGTGTGCCGACATGAGCGGCGATGATTGTGACGAGAACGGCGACGATGATAAAGATGATGGTGATGATGACGATGATGACAATGACGACGACGATGACGATTATGCAGATGGTGCGAAGATGATGATGAGATGATCGGATGATGAGGTGAAGATGGGACGATGGGATGAAGGTAGGTGGAGGTGGGAGGAAGAGAGAGGAGGAGAGGAGGAGAGGTGGGACGCGGGGCGCTGTCTCTTCAAAACGAGGACCCAACACCACAGGATGCCTGGGAAATGGTCTGTTGACGCTTCTCCGTGCTCTTGGGACTGGTTCTGATTTTTGGTTCCCGCTCTTCGTGATGTTTTCCAAGATCCGCTCGTAGGAGAACATGCCCGACCCGAGCCTAGACCTGACGCTCCCCCACCTCAACGTCGCTCGCCCCGCCCTGTCCGGAGGTGCCTCCGGGCCAGAGTTTCAATGCGAGTCCGGCCGTGGCGGCGAGGGCAGCGCCCCACGGGAGCCTGATATAGAGCTCCCAATCGCCGCGCAGCCCTGCCCAAACACCCTCCAGCCTCGAGCCGGAAGCCTCGAGCCGGAAGCCTCGAGCCAGGCATGGGTCCTGGATCTCCTGGAGCCTCGGTCGAGCTCGACCCTCGATCCCGAGACCCCTACCCGGAAGACCCGATCGGACTCGAACCTCGATCGAGCTCGAGCCTCCTCCACCTTGCATCTCGAGCCCACTCCCAAGCTGCCCCGAGCCCGGATTCTGGATCCTCCTCCAGGAGCTCGCGAGGGAGCTGAAGGCGTAGGAGTCGGCGACCACACGGGGTATGGCCACTTCGGGGTGTGGTTTGCGATCGGCGCGGGGGTCTGGGGGTTGCAGTCAACCCGCATACAGTCGACCCGCATGGCAAGGATGGGCAACCTTCCCAGGGGTAACGCTTGCATCCCTCCGTCCTCGGTTCATCGTTGGGCGCGCCCCGCTCGAAAAGCTTCGAGATGGCCTTCCAAGGCCCTTGCATCCCTATCTTCCGTCCTTATGAAACGGGTTGACTGTAGCAAGGAGGGGCCAACTTTCGTTGACTACCCGTGCATCCTTGCCGCCCCCTCGGCCCGTCCTTGCGACGCTGTCCTCGCTGGGCCTCCTCGGGGCGCGGCGCACCCCGTTGCAAGCCACACCCCCCTCTGAGCCGCGGGGCCGCGCCGCATAGGAGGGGCGGGCAGCTGCCCGCGAGGGGCCGCCTGGCCGGGCCGCGTCGTGCTGTAATTGTCAGCCTCGGAGGCGCGCGGGCCACGCCGTGGGGCCGGCGGGAGCGCGAGGGGCTGAGGTCCCAGGCCCCCTCGAGCACTGAAACAATCACGACGAGAGGTGTTTCACAATTTTCGGCCTCTGGGGGCTCTTACTGGGCCTCAGGACCGTCAAACACGATTCAGGAAGAAAAAACCAGTCATTGGGAAGGGGTCGAAGCTTCTGGGGGTCGACGTCATGAAAAATCATGACGTCGGGGGTCTGGGGTCGGGGCTCAAGAGGGGGGGGCGGAGGGGGGGGCGATGCAGACGGTGGTCCGTCAGAGCGTCGAGCAGGAGCTTTGCAGGAGCTTTGCAGGATCCTGCAGGGCCAGGGGCGCACTGTGACGCGGGCTCGGGCGCAGGATCCTGCAGGATGTTGCAAGATTTTGCAGGATCTCGCACGGCCTGACTGGCCCGGGTGTGGATTGACCCGGGTCAGAAGACCGTGGCGTGTGCAGAGTCAGGCCGCAAAATAAGGATGAACCACTCTCCAGGGTTACCCTCGCATGATCCCCCTTCGGCCCATCCTTGGCCGCTAGAGATAAAGAGAGCTTATTTTAAGGCGTTCAATGCGTTGTTCGTTGAAACTGAGAGCTTCGCTCGAGACATCCTCGAACAAAAACAATAGGAGGATGAGGATGAGGATGAGGATGAGGATGAGGATGAGGATGAGGATGAGGATGAGGATGAGGATGAGGATGATGATGATGATGATGATGATGATGATGATGATGATGATGATGCTGATGCTGATGCTGATGATGCTGATGCGATGATGCTGATGCTGATGCTGCTGCTGCTGAGATGATGATGGTGGTGGTGAGGATGATGAGGATGAGGATGATGATGATGGTGATGATGATGATGATGATGATGATGATGATGATGATGATGATGATGATGATGATGATGATGATGATGATGATGATGAGATGATGATGATGATGATGATGAGGAGGAGGAGGAGGAGGAGGAGGAGGAGGAGGAGGAGGAGGAGTAGGAGGAAGACCAGCGCGCATCCTGAAGTTGTCACAGGCGTCCCGCTAAGCCGCCTGGGATCTCAGCCGAGGCTTCATACTGGCTCGGCTTCTCTTCCAAAGTGCCAAGGCTTAGTACTGGCTCGGCAACGCTGGCATACCTGGTATGCTGACCAGGCAAGGCGCCGCCGCGCGTCAGAGGGGCCGCGCCGCCTCCGCGCGCGCCTCCTCGGCCGACGGGTGCCCCAGGGGGGGGGGGAACGCCAGGTAAGAAAGGGCCAAGGGCCCCGAGCCTAGAGGGGGGAACCCTGACAGCGGGGGGCATCCCGACCCATTCCCAGCCTGCGCCCCGCCCACCCCAGGGGATGGGCCCCCGCGGCCGGCGGAGGCGCCGCCCCCATACCCCCCCCGCCGCCCTCCGCCTTTTCGGCAAGTCCCCCGATTTATTTCAATCCCGCCGATGCAGGCGGCAGTCGACCACTTTAGGTTCCCCGACCGTCCCGGCGTGCTCACCGGGCCCCCGGCTTCTGCGGGAAGGGGGGAAGGAGGAGGGGGGGGGAGGAG